ACGACTGCGGCTTCCATCAACCCGGTCCCAACAGCAGCTGCCTTAAACAAGAGCTGGATCAACAACAGGTGCAGCAACAACTTCGGCACAGACAACGGCGGCTCCAACAACTGTCGCCCCAACAACAGCTGCACCAACAACCGCAGCCCCGACAACTGCGGCTTCCACAACTGGAGCTCCCAATAGTGCGGGTCCCACTACTTCAGCTCCAACTATGTCTTTGACAACAACAGCTCCAACAACCCCGGCACAGACAACTGTCCCCCGAACAACAGCCCCAACAACTGTCGCCCCAACAACAGCTGCACTTTACTTTCTTATTTATATTGCCAAATTGACAAAGGAATTCATTTGAATCCCTTTTGACCTCGAGCATAGTTGTACCCCTTTGATTGGGTACTGGGTTAAATTGAAATTAAAGATAATTTGAGTTAATTCAGAATGTTTTATCGATGATGTGGTCAACACAGAAACTATTATGCTACATGCCTCAATGCCTATAACTAATCAGATTTCTAGATGTCTTTTACATTACAAAGTTCCCAATCATCAAAACAATAATACCACAGTATACCAATGGATAAACAATACATCAAGGTGAGTGACTTTGTAATCTACCCCTAGAATTGTGTTAAATTCAGATTTTAGTTTTCATAAGGCTATAGTAAAATATCTTGCATCTGTATCTAATTTCAGTTTTTAAAGGTTTTTCCAGTGTTGACAGAATAGCATTAGAGAAAATGTAATCCCCACATACAATGTTCTTTAATACCTACAGGCTTTGTATTAACAAACCTACAGATGAGGGTAACTTCCTTTGGAAAGGTTAGCAATGGAACCATCATTGAACGTGTTAAAGAGGTTCGTAAAACAGAAGTAGTAAATTAACCGGTTTGAAAATGCGCTTTGCCTAACATCATAAATCTAATCTTCTGTGTTTTCTCTCAATTTAGTTTTTTGAAAAGCAGCTCCTGAATGGAACATTTCACACAATCAACGTGGCAAACATTCAAAGGGTGGATCCTAATTGAAGACAGCAGTTCAAGGTTATGCTGGCAGAATTGTTTCAACACCATGTGAAATGGTAGTTAACCTTATTCATTTCTTCATATTTGGAAAGACTCCTTTGGCCATTTAGGCCACTCTACAATCCGTGAACAATATTCCAAAGAATTGGAGATGTTTATTGAATGTGCATAGAAGAATGGAAAGCTCAGACTAAGGAATAGCATCTTCCAAGAAGTTAAAGAGGTATCAATAATTCCAATGCTCTTTAACTGGAGGAGAAGCTACCAGAAAACACTACACCCATCATCATGAATGAGGAAAGATCTCACATAAACACTGGCAACAATAAACTTGATGAGTGTCAAGCTTATAGAATGCATCTTCCAAGCAGAAAGTGAAAGTACTGCTCGTTTGTTGTTTGCTATCGAAATGATGCCAGAATTGTTCAATGCGGAGAAGGTACCTTAGTCTCTGAGGTATTCTGTGTGCCAATTAACTTTTAAAAGTTGTTATTACATGAGTTGGGGGCATGAATTAACATTGAAGTTACACCAATATATATCGGCCATTTATTATTCCCTCACTGTAATTGTTGAGAGCATCAACCCCAAAAATAAATATGCATTTATTTCCATATATTTGTTTGGTCTTTACTTTCTCTTAAAAAAATACAAAAAATGTTGATTTAATACTGGTGCCTCATAACCAAACCTGTTAAACCGTTGACCTTGTCCACTGAAAAAAAATGAAAATATCACATTTAGTATAAATTTTCTGAACATTTTTAATTGCCATTCATTTTATAAAACATTTCCTCAATATACAAATATCAGCAGAAATACACAGGTAATAAAATTGTATAAGATGTCAAAATGACTTGGATGCTATCTTTATCACAGTTAAGTATATTAAATTAACTATTAAAATCATAGATGACAATTTTGAGTTAAAGAATTCATCCTTGGAATTTCCTTCATCGGCCTCAATGATGGAGTACAACTTTTCACAGATCAGCACTTGGTTTTCTTTACCGTCACATTGTTTGTATTTTACAGAAACCTTTGAGATCGACAAAGTCGCTTTCAGCAGGAACTTAACAATCCATCAACTTCATGAACTTGTCACCACTCCTATGCAGCTCCTCTCTCATCTCCCTCTGTAGAGCCAAGGCTTCATGCAAGGCTTTGCTTAGCAGCGCCAATAGATCAACAGCCCCCCCTGTTCCCCTGGGCAGGAAGAACTCTAGAGCGCAAGTGGAGGCGTGAGGAAGCCGCACGCCCGACATTCCGGCATCCTGGAAAGTGAATTAAAAGGTGATATTACTCTGACAATAAAGTTTATCTCGCATCGTCTTAACTGTGAAATCCAAACCACAAAGAAATACTTACTTTATGAGTTTAAATAAAATTGGAATGATATACAAGAATGTTTTTTTTTGTCTATTACCCCCATAAAAAGCCTGTTAATGAAAGGGGTCAAGTATTAAATACATATTAATGAATCAAAATGTTGAGTATTCTGTAAACAATAAGTTGGCTGGAGGCAATAGATTTCAAACCTGTTTCTTTAGCATTCAAAAATAAATTGACCGTTTTCGTCAAATGCTCTGACATGTTAATAGCGATTTGACCACAATTATGGTTTAATGATCATGCGGCTAGGAGCCCCGTTGCAAAGATTCAGAGGCGCATGACAAAGCGCCTGCAACAACGTGAAGAGACTTGCTCCCTTTCTTCCGATAAACTGGAATCCTACTTGTCTGCAACAGGGCTGTGGATCGGAGTTAAAGATGCGTTATCACTAATGACACATAGCAGAAGGGGACAATTACAGCCAGCAGGAAGTCAACAGCACGTTGTAGTTTTTTATTAATTTAACAATGGCCGGCTTGTGAGATAGATACTAACCTGCGAGTAAAAACGTAGTGAGATCATTCTGGAGAAACCG